ATATAGGTCCACGATTCTTGACCTCAGCGTTAGTTGGAAGTTAGTGGTTTGCTTCACGCCCCGGCCGCTTTACTTCCGTGGAAAGAGCTCCCGGCGTCCATTGGATAAGAAGGTGGATAGATCCTAGAATCGTTCTGGACGCTATAAAGAAGAGAGAAATCTCTTACACTTGCCGGGAATCGAGTCCTGGGCGTCGAGCCTGTAGACCGTCGCTATACCGACTGAGAAATCCCAGCTTCCAAACATGTATACAGTCTGACCTATTCACGTGAATATGGCAAAACATTTGAACATTTCCGCATTGTTCTTAAATGAGCAACTTGACGGAAATGTTCAAACGCCTTTCAGGTGGCAAAAACAGTAGCACTATTAAATCCGTCTATTTCTGTTATTTCCTTTTTAAATGAACATACATCCCTAATTCGGATTAAATGGGTAAGTGGATTTAAATCTGCAGTCAGATGCTCTAGGCAAAATCGAAACGGACTGCAGTTGCTTTGCCAGCAATTGAAAACGCTTGCTGTGCTCCGCGGTGGCGAAACTGTAGCAAGACCGCATTCCTTTCTCGTAGTTTTTGCTGGTGTTGATGAAGGAACTGGATTATATAATACACGGGGTCATCCAGCAAGCCAGCCTGGCTTCTGGACCATCGTCATAATGCGCAGACTCTTCGCTGGTTATAAAAGCTTACAAACATATGCTCCAATTATGTCCTTGCGACTCCACACCCTCCGGTAATTTTGATGTTTGTTTAATGTACACACATTAAGTCATCAGTAACTAAATTTTCATTTAAAACAAAGACTGTCCTGCCAGTATGAGTAACGGTGAAGACTTTCAGCGAGGGACATGAGATAAAATCTTCGTACGCTAACATATTTTTTTACGTCTTCTTATTCTGTCGCGCGCGGTTCGAACGCCACGGTAAACTGTTGGTTCCGGGTACTGTCTCCGCGAACATTGAATTCTGCTAATATGTGTGAAACTGGGTTTCCCATACTGAGGAATGTACAGAGAGTGCTGATGTTGTGTGAATGAAATTGTTGAATAAATTGTTTGCACCTGAATCAGCAGAAATTACTAAGAAAATTAAACAACAAGGAATTTCGTTAATTATGCCGTTCGTGTAAGCCTAGTATCAGTATGGTTATACCAAGAACCTTAAAATGGGCGGGATATTTAGTACCAATTGAGGGGGGAAAGACAAGCACAGACAATGTTTATTCGAAAAGATAATGTGAAAAGACAACTTGGAAGTCTCAGCAGCAGATGGGAGGTAATATTAAAATAAATATTGGCCGCTCCATAGCTCAAGCGGTTAGTCGCTGGCTTCCCACCGCGGCAGCAGGAGTTCGAGCCCGGGTCTGGTCAAGTGGGATTTATGGTGGACAAAGTGGCGCTGGGGCAGGTTTTTCCCGAGTACTTCGGTTTCCCCTGCCAATCTTCATTCCACCAAATCCTCCATAAATACCCGGGGCAGGTACAATAGGCCAATCAGTGGCCGACGTGCCGAGTGGACCCAGCTGGACCCCCACCCCCACTATGTGAATTTTAAAGAATAAATAAAAAAATATTGGAAGATTAGAACTAAATTTTGACCCAAATCAAATCCGTATTTTATTTCACATTATTTATCAATTATTTTACGCGATCTATCACTGGTTAAACAAATTAAGTATTCGATTTGTGTGTCATGTTAAATAGAGTTTTTATTTTTTTTTATAGTACGAACATATGAAAATCATCCGTTACTTTTAATGCATTACTTTCCGAGAAGAAACATGGCGATAAAAGGACACGGCATCGCAATTATGCATTAATTTTAATCCAAAGAACTTATAAAAAAGTAAAGCTATACCTGTAACGGGCCGTGAAGGCCCATAGGGTTGTGAGACGTTGAGAGTCCCACATTATCTAGACAATCGGCTCAAAGATGGCGGTAAGGTTGTCAGCCTTACGCGCCGGCCGCGCTTTACTTCCCAGGAAAATTATTTAATTAATTCCTGGTAGTCATTTCTGTTAGAGGCTGAGTCGACCCCAGGGCCATAGTGCGGCTGGAAGGATTAGGTCAATTGAAAAATTCCAATGACCTCTTTGGGACTTGAACTCGCGACCTTCCGGCTTGTAGCATAGTGCCTCAACCAACTACGCTACAGCGTGCCTCCATCCAAAAAACTCGTGAGAATAAAAACCATAATGTGGATCCATCGTGGTCTTCTGTGTCTGTGTATTCTGGTAGGAGGTTACGAACGTTTCAGAGGTATATACTGTCCTCATCTTCGCTTGTACCCTCGAGGTAGAGGCAGTATGTTCCTCCGAAACGACGGCACCCCCCCTACCAGACTATACAGTATCATAATTCATAAAACCACAATATTAATTTTCACCGTCGTGAAAAGCTCAGTTCTTATAAAAACTATAGACCCTGTTATCTGCTATAATGAACACTTTAAAATACAGGTACAGTGAAATATCTCAGATAACTTTTTGCTAAAATTATCAGTCAAATAACAATTTGTGTCTCACTCACTCACTCATGGAGCTGGGACCTTTTTGAGGTGCCTCCAATTGTTCAGTTTCTCAAGAACTTCCCAGAATATATGGAACCCGAAGGTTCATTACCGTGTTCACAATAGAATTCCTCTGGTCCCTATCCTGAGCCAGATCAATCTAGTCCATACCACCCCACCCTATCTCCCTAAGATCCATTTTAATATTAACCACCCACCTACGTTTTGGTCTTCCTAGTGGTCTCTTTCCTTCTGGCTATATGCCTTGCCCATCTCATTCTCCTTAACTTGATCACACTAAGTATACTTGGCGAAGAGTACAAGTTATGAAGTTTCTCACTTTGCAGTTTTCTCCAACCTCCCGTCACTTCATCTCTCTTCAAATATTATCCTCAACACCCTGTTCTCAAACATCCTCAATCTATGTTCCGCCCGAAATGTCAAAGACCAAGTTTCACACCCATACATAACGAGAGGAAAAATTATACTTTTGTATATTCTAATTTTTAATATTTTTAGACAGCAGGTGAAATTGAACGAACGGATGTCAAGTGCACTTGAATACGTAACAAATAGCTTCCAGATTTATAATACTGAATTAGGTATCTATAAATCCAGATGGTGTTGAAGAGCTGAGCTTTTACGTATTTAAGATGTTGGAAACAGGTGACATGTGCATAATTTTGGTTTGGAGACCTCTTGAAAAATGATCGCTTGGGACATTAAAGTTGGGACTGGAGAAAAATATTAAATAATGCATTGCCCTGTTTGCCATTTAATGACGTTGTATCGACAACAGAGGTTACTTGTCACTTATCTGAAGCCGTGCCATAGCTCAGACGGTTAGTCGCCGGTTTCCCACTGCGGCGACCCAGGTTCGAGCCCAGGTCATGTCATGTGAGATTTGTGGTGGATAAGTGGCATTGGGGTAGTTTATATCCGAGTACTTCGATTTACCCTGTCAATTCTCATTTCACCGACTCCTCCAAGCTCATCATCTATCGTCCGGGACTGGTACAATAGGCCAGTTAGTGCCCGACGTACCAAGTGGACTCAGTCTCACCCCACCCCAAGAAACTAAAAACTCTCACTGATTGGGATGCAAAACTGGAATGTATTATAAAGGAAGCAATCGTAGCGTCCTGCCTGAAAAATTAATTCAAACTAGGATACCTAGGCGGAAAAATCATTTTTATCAAGTACGACTCGAACCACTTACCACTACCACATCTTTTTCGAAAGCAGATACCAGATAACATCAGGACACAAGTCGAGGCGAATGACAACCCAGAAAGGTGTATCTTCTGAGAAAAGGTTGCTTTCAATACTGGAAGCGGAATAGAACAGTCGGTCAGCAACATGCCGAGTTGTTCTAGAGAATAAAAGAGTGTAGTACGAGTATGTTAGTATGTTAGATCTAACTTCAAGTGGATTCTTTCGTGCACGTGAACAATTTCTGGAAATTGCATCCGACACAAAAAGCTCCTTAGCGGAAAGATTTGATGTCACGCTAAGAAACGTAACAATACAGATTCGCGCGTGGCTGTGACTTTTCATCGGCGTGATTAGCGTAACTAACAAACAAAGCAGTCAGCCAGGTGACTAAGTGACTGGCAGACTGACTATTCTACTAATTATTTCACTAACATACTAATTGACTGACCAGTTGACCAGGCTACGGAATAAGGGTGGTCTTCAATTCGCAACCCCAGAAAAACATAAAGTGAATAATTAATTTAATTAATTTAATTAAATTAAAATTTAATTAAATTAAGTTAATTTAATTTGATGCATAAATTTAAAATGAAATAATAGGAGGATGAAGAGTGTTGCACTATTAGGAGCTGCTTGACGTAGTCTTCGTCATTTATAATTAGAACGATTACGTAAAGGAGGATGAGATGGACAGGACATGTAGCACGTTTGAGAGAGAAGAGGAATGCGTGCAGGATTCCGATTCGCGAGCTTGAAGGAATTATACCAATTGGAAGACCTGGATGTTGGTAGGAGGAAAATATTAAAATAGACCTTAGAGAAATAGGAATAGGAGAAATAGATTCATCTGGCTGAAGAAAACGGTAACGAAACTTTGGATTCCATAAATTCTTGGAAATTCTTCACTAGCTGAGTGACTGGTGACTTCTCAGGAAGTCTTCGGCTCCTTGGAGTTAGTTAATATGAATTTACAAGATATGTATCTCTACTTTCAAAAGTGTAAAATAAATTATTATATCCTTTCTCTTTTACTATGTTTAATTATACCCAATTACTCTGGTTGATTTAGCGTCTCTGAATAAAGTTAACCAGGCAAGAACTTGGAAGAACAGAAATGATAATGATTTTCGTCGGCTGTTGGAATCCGCGTCTGTAATAAATCGCATCAGTCTCGTATGTTGGCAGCGCCGGAATGACCTTTCTCTCTGCTGCGCGCGCGCCTCGTGACGTTATAGCGGGTGTTGTACGTTTCCTTTTTCTGCGTGTATTGTGGTTGTAGGCCTGATGTGGGGCGTTGCGCGTGGTGTTTCACTCTTGTCTTCCCTTGTACGCATAGCGTTTTTGTAATGTTGTACATTTACATGCGGGGTGGTTTTGAAACTGCGTGACAGTGTGAATTTTTTTGTTTTGTGTATTGCTCGTAATATCAATAACCCTAATACGTATGTGTAATACGTAGTGATGATAACTGTTACGAAAAACGTAAGTTTGCAACTGATGACATTTATTTGGACACGTGTGGATTTGTGGACATGTGGTGTTCTTGTGCTGGTTTTAACAATGCTTTTAACTATAAGGGACTCCTAATGACATTTTAAAGTGACAACTACGACAAGTGATTCTGTTTGTGACACTGTTAATTACAAGTAAGACGCGACAATCTTTAAAGATGAGTTCAACCCAGTTCAGGAATTGCTGCCTTTGGATTAACCCCATTTGAAGTAAGTGTGCGCACCTGTACATATGTAGTATTTATATGCATATAAAACTGAGATACATTTTGCATCTGTTTTAAAGTAGCAAAATAAGTCTTTACTGCTTCAAATGCAGCGAATAAATAAAAGCCGTTTTCAGTGATAGGCCGGTTGTCAAATGCCTCGTGAATAGATTTGGTCGAAAAGTAATGCTGGTGAGCTTTCAGAGATGTTGACTAGGACGGAAAGGCAATAAAACATACCATTATTACCATAACCACGAAATGCTGTTTCTCGCGTACTCTAACGACGCTTTATTAATTGCATGGGCTATTGAGGGACGAAGGGCAAAATAATTTATAGTCGATGAAGAGCAGAAAGACTTGCATGTAATCGGGATCATCCGATTATTTTTATGAAGATCCTGAGATAAGGAAAATTAACATTTACAGTGGACACAACAGAAAGTTTCCTGTCCGACATTCGAATTAGTGTCTTCCGGTTTAAGAAGCAGGCCATCTGCACTGTGACTTTCCTGTGGACATCGTTTTGTCGATTGAATTGAGGAGGATGTGTTTACGATTTATTTCTGCCAGAATTCGAGATGTGTGGGATGACGAGATTGTTTTTACAAAGGGAAATCCAGTGACAGAGAGACGAATGTTTACTTCAGCGGCGTAGGTGATGTGCTAACGTGTGCTGTAAACCTTATTGTACTAATATAACAAATGTTATAAAGCAGAATCCCTTCTGAATACCAGGCAAATTGGTAAAAATAAAGTTATTCCTGTAACAGGCAATGGAAGCCCATAGGGTTGTGAGACGTTGAGGGTCCCACATTTATCTAGACAATCGGCTCACAGATGGAGGTAAGGTTGTCAGCCTTACGCGCCGGCCGCGCTTTACTCCCCAGGAAGATTCCTGATACTCATTTCTGTTAGGGGCTGTGTCGAACCCAGGGCCATAATGCGGCTGGAAGGATTAGGTCAATTGAAAAATCCACCTCATCGGGACTGGAACCCGCTACCTTCCGGCTTGTAGCATGGTGCCTTAACCAACTACGCTACCGCGTGCCCCCAGGCAAATGAGTGTGCCCAATTTTTGAGGCTCTGTCTCTGTCTCCAACTCTGTTGGAGTTTGCCAACGGAGTGATCTGTATAGTGGCGCTGTTCAAGATTGATCAAAATATAAAGCTGATATGTCATAGGTTCAATTTGACTCAAAAGTTGAAATGCTTAGGACTTTCTACAAAAAGTACACAAACGTTCATGTGGATCACTTGGGACATGAAAATTTCCGAACATAACTCGTGCCTGGTTTTGTTCTTATAAATTTCTCGCCCAGAAATCGTGCACTGCAGGAAATTATAATGTACTAAATGTTTAGTTTGCCGGTCACGGTAGCCGAGCGGTCTAAGGAATGCACTGTCTTCGCTCGCCCGGAAGCCGGGATCGTGGGTTCGAATCCCACTCAGGGCATGGATGTTTGTGTGCGTTTTTCTGTGTTTGTCTACAGGTAGAGGCCTTGCGACGAGCTGATCACTCGCCCAAGGAGTCCTACCATATGTGTAAGATCGAGAAAAACCGAAGTGAACGGAGTTCATGGAGGTAGGCCTAGGCCCACTGGGGCTGTAGTGCCAAGGAAAAAAAAATGTTTAGTTTGCGCGTCGGAATGTTAATATGAAAACTAGAATTTCATTCGCACACATCATTGCGGGCAATGTACTGTTGGTATGTGGTGTAAAATTATTGGTCAGAGTAAAACGGGCCTATTCACTTCACCGAGTGGTAATGTGATTGTTTTGTATTCGGAAGGTTCCGCGTTTGTACCTCGAGCGAGAAATCTGTTCATTTGACTATTTGAATATTATCCATCGTCCTGCTTTTATTTAAAGCAACGTTTCAAAGACCGGCGTCGGCTATCCCGGTTGCAATTGCCCTCAGTCTCTCGAGTGAAATGAAGCCCAGTGCTTCAGAAGAGACAACTCTTGTTCCATGCGAGATAGAGCTGGACATTCCTGTTTCATGTTCTGTGGTTCAAATTTCAGCTCGGAAACCGATTATTGTGGCTTAAGGTTTCGATCTTTTTTCCATGGTCACCATGGAGAAGCAGCCGGTTGTGCAGCTGCTCAAGAATTTCTGAAGATTGTATGCAATGCGAAGGTCCATTAACAAGAACACTCCGCCGGCCCCTATTTTGAGCCAGATCAATCCAGCCCATACATCCCATCCTATCTTTCTAATAACCATTTTAATATTATCCACCCACATAAGTCTAAGTCTTCCTAGTGGTTTCTTTCCTTCTGGCTTTCCAATCAAAATCCTATATGCATTCATTTTCGCCCAATTCATGCTACATGCCTTGCCCATCTCATCCTCCTTGACTTGATCATTATGATTATACTTGACGAAGAATACAGGTCATGAAGCTCGTCATTATGCAGTTTTCTCCAACCTCCTATAGCTTCATCTCTCTTCGATTCCTGAAATTTGCAGAGGGCGATGTATGCTGATGAGCATATTTTGTATATATTTTCTCTAATAACTGTGAAAGAAAAAGATAGATTTTGTGTTTGCCTGTAGGAACATCATGCTTATCTTCAGCGATCCCAACGTGGTGTGATGAAGTGAAATTTTGAGGTGCTGGTTATCTCAGCGCCCCACAAGCGCTGCATGACATATAATTACTTTACTGAACTGCTGTTAATGTCATTTCCTGCAATGAAGAACTGCACAGTGGCAACAGTAAGCGCTTTTGAATTGAGTACAGTAAATAATTGAACTCTTAATCCAGATATTTGGCAATAACGGAGATTTTTATCTCCCAGTTATTGGAGCCGGGACAGCGTAATCGGTATAGCGACCGGCTACGAGCTGGACGACCGAGGTGTCGGAGTTCGAGCCCCGGTGGCGGCAAGAATTTTCTTATCTGCACTTCATCTAGACTGGCTTTGGGGTTCACCCAACCTCCTATCGAATGAATGCCGGGGGTAAAGCGGCAGGGGCATGAAGCTGACCAGTCACCTCCAATTAGTTTTGAGGTCGAGAAAATGTGGATCTATACATCCACTACCCCATACGCCTTCCTGGCGTAGTGCTTAATTAGTTAAGCACGGGGTCAACTTTACCTTTTTTTACCACTCAATTATTTGTGAAGCGTTATTATATGGGCTAAAAGTACAGGCTCGACCGTCTTTAAAAGACGAGTAGTCGATGCAGTTATGTGTATCGAGGCTGTGTTTGGTCGGATCCCGTTCAGTATATGTGTTCTAACATTCGTGTCTCCATTTCTGTGAAGGCGAGGACTGTCTGTAATTACACACTGGTTCTTTCATTGCAGCGAGACTTCACTCCTGGGAAGTCAGTCTGCTAACCACAGTCTTCTCGAGGACGTAACGAAAACTTCTAGCAATTTCCCCTCCAGTGCCGTCTCAATGTAGGAAGTCCTTGAATCTTTACAACGTACACCCCCCTTGGGATCACCAAATCACAGTGGATTCCAGAGTATGATTGAATTTCTTTGGTCAGATGATTATTAAACGATGCTCTGTGAACTGCTGAGACTATATAATTTTATATCTGTTTTTGTGGGTTGATTGCGCGTGGTGGATGGAAATGTGAAAAAGTCGTGACGTAGGTCTATCTGTATTTTAAAGCACTGTTTCTCAACCGACGAGTCCTGGTCCGATACCGGTCCCTGGCATCAATTATACCGGGTCCTCATCTTATAAAAAAGTATCTACCGGACCGCGGTCTCACAAAAGTTGGGAACCACTATTTAAAGTGGGCACGTGGTAGCGCAGTTGGTTGAGGCACTATGTTACAAGCCGAAAGGTCGCGGGATCCAATTCAGATTAGAACATTGGATTTTTCAATTTACCTAATTCTTCCAGCCGCACTATGGCCCTGGGTCGAATCAGCCTCTAACATAAATGAGTACCAAGTATATTCTTGGGAGTACAGGGCGGCCGGCGCGTAAGGCTGACAACTTCACCGCCATCTGTGAGCCGATTGTCTAGAAAATGTGGGAACCTCGACATCTCACGGCCTGATAGAGGGATACTCTTAGTTTACCACTGTTTAAAGTATTGCCCTGGCGTTTACATAGAGATGTGGGCTGTTTGTGTCAGTATTGTTTTAATGCAGGAACATAGAATGAGGGTGTTTGAGAACAGGGTGTTGAGGCGAATATTTGGACCGAAGAGAGATGAAGTGACAGGAGGTTGGAGAAAACTGCATAATGAGGAGCTTCATAACTTGTACTCCTCTCCAAGTATAATTAGAATGATCAAGACAAGGAGGATGAGGTGGGTAGGTCATGTGACACGAATGAGGGAGACGAGGAATGCGTATAGGATATTGGTGGGAAAGCCAGAAAGAAAGAGACCACAGGGAAGATCAAGGCGTAGGTGGGTGGACAATATTAGAACGTATCTTAGAGAGATAGGATGGGTTTTTATGGATTGGATTGATCTGCCTCAGGATAGGGACCAGTGGAGGGCTCTTGTGAACAGGGTACTGAACCTTCGAGTTCCATAAAATACTGGGAAATTCTTGAGTAGCTGCAGAATTGCCGGATCCTCAAGAAGGTCTCAGCTCCATGAGTAAATAAGTAAGTATTGTTTCATTGCAAATTAAAAGCATGGCGGTAGTGATGCTGCTCAGTTTAAGAANTTAAAAAAAAAAGAGTGAATTCCTACGCTGAGTTACTTCTTAAGCAGGACTCAGCTCCATGAAGTTAATCGCGAGGACAGAGCCTGTAACATCTCTGAGCGTACGCCACGCCTTAAACAAGCAACCTTAAGAAACAGAGGTCCTGTGTGTGTTATCGAAATCTCTGATTTAGCAAATCTGGTCCCCACTCTATGTTAATAACAGAATCTAATTAACTTTATAACGCGACGTAAAGACCTCCGTCACTATCTGATGATGTACGCAACCTCAAAGATGTTTTAGGCACAGCACGCCCAAATCTTTACTACATAGCAACTGGTGCAGGCCACAGCAAAATAACATTTGAAGAAAGCA